AGCAGAACCACTGCTGACTTCAACACCCTGAGCCTGGGCAATGAAGTGGTGGATGGATGGGCTGGCTACAGGAGCGCATGAGCAGCCTAATGTAGTGTACAACTGTGGACTTGGGAGAGTCATCTAGCACCAACCAAATGGTTAGGGGTGGATATAGACTAAGGTCTAGGGTTTAGGGTTAAGAGTAGTTTGGAGGCAATCCATCAAGTGGGTGCTCCAATTTCGCCTCCACTTTGGTTTGGCTGGTCAGTACACAAGTGTTGATTTTTCAGCTACATTCAAAATTTCAACCATGGGTCAAATGACTGCAAGTTCTGGATGGGGACCCCCTTGGCATTCACCATGAACCACAGCTCATTGTAGTTGACCCAGGGCCTGAAGTAATACTCCTAATAGATCCTGAGCCTCCACCTGTCACTAGCAAGCCATCCACCAGGATCCTGTTGTGGGTAGCCAGCTTCCAGGCTGAGTGTGAGTTCTCCAACCTCTCAATCTGGAATTCCTCCTTGCTGATGCAGACCCCAGTGGCTGAGAGGACACTGTGGACCACATCAACTGTGCTGATTGAGTGAATTAACCTCATAAAATGGTTTTACTCAAAAATGCAAGACAAAAATAGCATCTTGAGAATTGCAAGATTAAAATACCATCAATATGAGAGATGTGATGCTGTAACTGGGCCATCAGTCAAGGTCTGGAATGACCAATTTCTATCATGTACATGTATGTGACTTGCATACATGTACAAAAACTGTAAACCAGGACACTCACAATATTGAGTGCATGACTACATGTTCAGCCTGCTGATACTAAGTTTATTGTGCACATGTACACAATCCAGAAAATCTGAACTTATAAGCAGTGGTCTAGCATGTCAAAATCACACATGCAGATCCAAATCTTCAACACTGCCCTATAAATCAAAAAGCAGAATTGGTAAATCTTGGAATGGTGCAAGTTAAAAATTGGAAAGGAATCCTACTGTTGTTGCCAAATGTAGAGGGGAACTGGACCAGTTGGGTCTCAGGTAGATGGGCCTCAGGGAGGTCCTGCCCTAGTGATGTCAGAAGAAGTCCTTTATTTACCCCTTGGTAATGTATATTATAGAACTGGGCTCTGCCACATACCCCCCAACTAAGACAGAATCATCATGGTTCCACCTTGCAGCTGGTGGCTGTCAAGGTAGTCATATACAAGTTGATCAGCCTGGATGTTGTTGGCCTGAACCCACATGTTGTTGTGTGCAGTATAGCTGACCCATTGGACCTTGTACTCATGGCCTGTCCCCTGGTCATGGTGGTTGATAATGGCTTTAACTTTGTACTCCTCCTTGTTGTCCTCACTGGGAGAGGGTGGTGGTCCCTCCTCCCTGTCCTTGTTCTTCTTGTGATATGGCTTCACTCACTCCATGTTGAGCTTGAAGTCATGACCTTTCAGGTGATGTAGCAGGATGACTTGAGGGGAGACTTGCTGGATGACGTTGAATGGACCCATCCACTTCTTAGCTAGCTTCCTTGCATGGCCTTTTGAGGCCTGCCTGGCTAGAATGTGATCGCCTGGCATGTAGCCTCCTTCCTTCCTCTTATCATGCCACTGGACCATCTCACTCTTGGCTTGGTCCTGGGCATTCATCACCTGGTCATGGATGATTTGCTGGGCTTCTCATAGCTCAGTGATCCACTTGTTGGATGGCTTTGTGTTGTCTGGCAATCTGTGACTGCCCTCCAGTGGAGGTGTGAGTTGCCCAAACAGGACTTGGTATGGGCTCATGCCCATTGACTTCTGGGGGCT